TATTTTGGACCTTGCGCTTTAGTGTCCCACTGTTTTAATTGTGTGCCCCGAGCTTCCTATGTGGTAGTTGTATATGGCATCAACATCGTAGCCTTTAGGAAATGGTGGCTCTTTTGGTTTAGATTGGACTGAGGTCACAAAATACCTCTCAAACAAGACTGGGAGTAATTCCTCATATGTCATTGGAATTTGGTCAATATGAGTCCTTTCTATGACCATTTTATAAGGTTTGGCCCCATGATTAGCTGAATAGGATCTCACCATATTGATCTCAACTCCTATCTCGGTGTCAGTATCGTCAGTACTCCTTAACTTGTCATTCTTGATAGTTTTTTCAATCATCTCTCCACACATGATGATATCAGAAAATTTCTTTGTGGCAACCCCTAGCATATAATTGATAAATGGACATTTTAGTGTGTCTATGAACATGGCAATGAACTCTCTTTAGGTTATTGGTGGGTGTACACGAAAGCAACGTCCATCCATCGTTGTGCATATTGTCGGAAACTCTCATTATGCTTCATCTCCATGTTTTGCAACATTGTTCGCTCAGGTGTCATTTCAATCATGTACTTGTATTGACCTAAAAAGGCATAAGCTAAATCCTTCCATGAGCTTATTTGAGTGCGACTTAATTGATTATACCACTTATATACGGGTCTGGTCAGGTTATCTTTAAAGTAATGGATTAAAATTTGATCATTATTGATGTATCTAGTCATTCTTTGAATAAACATTGTGAGATGAGCAGTACGAAAATTAGTCAATTAGGGGAAATCTTCGCCTTGCCTTTTGCCTTGTTAAGCCTAGCCAATTCTCAACAATCTGGTTGACCATGTTAGTCTGGTTTTGCAAAATGGAATCCTTAACGGTCTTGTATTGCTCTAATTTGGATTCTCAGTCTGTTTGCATTTTTTGTAGACTCTCTTGTAGCTCTTTCTTCAATTGCTTAAACTTTGCTTCCATCTTTAGTACTTTGTCAGTACCACTGCCATGAAATTCTCCACGAATTGTACACACATCTTCATGAATGATGCATGCGAAAATGCTTAAATAAATACAACATGGATGCAAAAATGCATAGATACATCTACGAATGCAATATGAAAAGGTATTGATCCCAAAGATGAATATCATAGAACAAGTTTCATTAGAGACACAAGTCTTTATTTTTTACAAGATAGTCCGTTTTCACAATCATGTTTTTGCTTGTACGCTTGGTCTAAAGTAATTCAATGTTTTTTCTTGGAGCTCCATCCTTGAAAAAAAATACCCGTCAAGTGTTCTATGTCCTCCTAGACATATGTAAAATCTTTATTCAAAACATGACCCATCTTGAATTATGTCCCTGCCACGTTGGAGTTGTGCATTAGGTCTTGATTATTAGAGGTATAACAGTTGTAGGCAGGATTCTGTAGTTTCATTATTGTTCGAATCGAGTGATCACCTCTTATATCTTTAGATATCGTTCTATCGATTAACTTTGGTGTCTGGTCTTTTTACAAAAACCTTAACAAGTCTGAAATTAATAAAATCAAATATTAGTACAACTATTTACAAGAGTAAAAAAATGCATGATTATGAAAGTTGAAATTGAAAGGATCATAATTCAAGTAAAGGTTCAAATTTATAAAATTTTAACCACTCAGATAACCTGTAATCAAATAAGATCTGACTCTCAAATATCCCCAGCGGAGTTGTCAAGTTTTCATAACAATTTTCTTTTCATTAATAAATTCATTTTAAAATAATTATGACTTTATTTTCAAAATGTGAATTTTTATTTAATTTGAAATTTAGAGTTGCCATCGACCTTTGGGTTAGGTAGGTCGAATACCTAAAAATAATTTTTAAAATAATTTTAAGAAAAAAAATCATTTTTAAGACAAAAAATTGGTATGCTTACCAAAGAATCATTTCAAAGAGTTCAGAAGTCGATTACACTTGAAGAAGGATTAACACCCATATAACACTCAAAATTAGTACATTTCAATTATACGTTGTCTACGTTGTGAAATTTTACAATTTTAAATTCAAATTTTAAATTATGATCCTCTTCATTTCAATGAATTAGAAAATGAGTAATTTTTTTTTAAATATTTGACTAGATAAAAATGATTTATTTCACTCGATTTTATTTAAAAATGATGTCATCTTACTACATAAATTAATGGAAATTAAAATCCAGTCATATTAGACATAATTTCATTAACTTACGACACAAAACAACATTGTATTTAATTGTTTTAGAAAATAAGAAAACCAAGGCATGAGTATGAATGCAACAATAATAACCGACATATACGAAATGGGTGAAATATTCACATATAACAAATGGTAAATAATAATAAAAAAGTAATAAATATTTATATGCAAAATCAAAATTTATAGTAAAAAAATAATAAATAATATTAAAACTATTTTATTCGAATAACCCTCATAAAGACACCCCCAAGTTTTTGGAGGTCTTCCATAGGTTAGTGGAATAATTAACAAAGAACTTCATAAAATTTATAGTATTGAATAATATATATTTTTAAATAGATCCATAATACAATACTTAAAATATCCTTCTAAATAAAAAATGTAAGTACACACATAAACACACACATATATAATGCCATTTTAATAAATAATAAATATGTATTGGGGACAAGGGTCAATAGCATAAATAATATGAAATATGTACACTAGCATAACAATAAAAACATTTAGGATTAAAATATAAACATAAAAAGTTGCAAGCTAAATGCGTAAAGCCATATAAAAATGAGATAAAAGGCCATTAGGATTAAAATGAACACAGAACAAAATTCAAAGACCAAATCAGAATATTAAAGAATCTCGATTTGGGGACAAGATTGCATGCATTAAACATTTAAGGGCCAAATTACAAAGAACAAAACTTGGCTTATATGTAATTAAGGACCAAAATGTAAAGTACTTAACATATATAGGCCACAATGAAACAAAGTAGAACCTATAGTGACCGCGGAGGAGTTATTCTCTAGAGGCTCCACAAGCACGGGTAAAGGGGTCAAACCAGCGTCGTTTTGATTTATCCATAAATATACTCTTTTTTTTCTAATTTTTCATTTCATTTCCCTTTTTTATTCTCTCCTTTCCCCATTTTCTTCTCCTCTCTATGCTCCCTCTCTATGCTCCCTCTCTATTTCCAGTCCAGCGAAAGAGCTCTAGTTGGCCGCTGTGGCTGCCATCGTCGGTCACCGTCCGTCGCCTTCCTCCGGTGGTTTTTCGAGCGCAAACTTCACAAGATGCTTCATCTCAACGTCCTGAACACGGATCCAGGGTCCAAATGGTCTAAAGCTTCTCCCAGTGCCGTGGATCTACGAAAAAGCTCCTTAGGTTCTTCAAATCCAGTGACTTTCGAGTTTTCTGACGATCTACGTTGAAGATAAGTTCTCTACTTCTCTTTCTTCTTTTTTCTTTCATTGTTTTTTTATCTCGGGTTCCCTATTTTTTGGTACGAATGGCTCTCTCGCTTTTCTTTTTTAGTCTCTCATCTCTCCTCTTCGGTTCTCTCTTCTTTTTTTTCTTTCGTTCAAATCCTTGAGTTTTATGGTGAGGCTCGATTTGATGGTTATGTAGAATGTGATTTTTTTTATCATTTTATGATTTGATTTGTTTTCACTATAGGCAATGATGGCTGGAGGTGGCTGCGGTGTGACGTTAACAGTGGCGGCAACGGTTTCTTGGCAGCGACAGTAGGGCTAGGCGGCAGTAGCAGGGGTATGTTAGGGTTAGGGTTAGGGTTAGATTAGGTTGGTATAGGTTTTGGGTATTGTTGGTTTTGGGCCAGTTAAGGTTGATGATTGGGCCTTATGTTGTAATTAATTTAGGCTTGGTGTTGTGTCCTGCAAAAATAATAATTTAAAATATATTAATATATTAAAAAATATAAAATAGTAATAAAGAAAGGTGAACGAGAATTGGTGTAAACAATAATAACAATGATATCAATTAAGTTATGACTTTATTTTAAACAATTTAATTCTTAAATCGAATGCTAAGAAAAAAATATCATATATCTAAAAATTTATTATTGGACTTAATGATGAGTAAGAGTTTCTAGCCAAACTATCGATGGCGAGGTGCATGAGTTTCAAATCATTTTGTTTAATGGTCGAATTAAAATTTTCAGATTAATCGATTAAATGAAACAAATCCAATCTTAATGGATATAACTAATTTAGTTAAACCCAATAATGAATACAGGGAGTACTTGAATTCAATACAAAGCACTGTGGGGGTTATATAGGTAGGGATATATCGAGAGGGAGAATGATGGATGGGGACAATAGCTTTGATATTTTTTGTATTTGAATCTGAAATTTTAGAAAATAGCATTAATTTTTTATTATTAATATCATTTGATTCATATAAATAAAATATATCTAATTTTGACGACATTAAATAAATTGACAGATTTAAAGGCAAAAGGTAAACTAATTTTTATTCAGTTATCTTTAAAAAAATTAAAAAAAAACATGTTCACTCATGAAATAATAAATATTTACACTTGTAAAGCAAGAAATAAAACCGTATGACCGACTAGTTAGTTTCCGTAATGACGAGGCCGTAGTCTCGCGCGTCTCGCGACACAGCGCGATAATGGAAAATAATTGGCGCAACAGCAGGGGACCCATTCGCGACCGTCTGATTCGCACCACTGGTGTCGACAGTCTTGCGGACACCTAACAAACCTTTCTCCTCCCGAAGCGTGGTTCCGCCCTTCTTCGCTTCCGTACTTTGGTCGCGCTTCACTAGCAGATGCTGTCCCTGTCAACTCCATATTGATTCAATAATCATTTCCTTATATATACAAATACATACGTGTTATATATATATCTTTTAATGCAAAAGGCACCACCTTATTCGCCTGCAAATCAATTTAAATCATTCAGCTCACAAACCCAGAAAAAAAACTCTCTTTTTTACCCCTTGTTTCTTCCCCTTTATTCTCTTTTTAAACAAGCATGGCCTCCTTTGATTTTGATATAGTCAAGGCTGAGAAAGAAGATGCTTTACGGAGATACAACATGGAGAAGAAGATGAAGATCGAGCTTCGGTTAGTCGGGTTTTTGTTGACTTTCTTTTTATTGCCACGGTCTTGGTTTCCCGGTACCCTCGCCGTCGCCGGAGATTTTTTGCGCCTTTTCGTCTGTACTTTTAACAAATCTCTTTATACTTTCATCCTAGTAAACCTCATCGTTGTCGTTGTTTATATATTGTCTAGCCAAAAACAGGCCCAGAAACAGCCTACCATCACTGACATATACGATGAATTCGTCTGCAATTCACGCCGGAGTATAGCCATATCCGCCGCCACCACTGATGTTCCTGCCACGGAAGAGACCATGGTAGACAAAGAAATCATTTTTGAAGAAAAGGCTGCTCCTTTTTCTCCTGAAAAGGAGCTAGAAACGACAGTTGATAGTGACACAATTGGAGAGACAAATATTTCCCTCTCTCCAGTTAAGCAACTTACAACAACGATGGACCGTACAGTACTGGCAAAACCAAATTCCGCCGTGTCTTCAGCTGAATTGGGGGAATATGAACACGGAAGAACTCTATCAATGGTTTCGGAATCTATGGACGGAGAGGTGATGAATTCAGATATAGAGTCGACGGGGAAATCAATGGGCGAAATGAGCAACGAGGAGTTTCAGTTGGTTATAGATAGTTTCATTGCTGAAAGAAAGAAAAGCCTGCTGCAAGAAAACACTGCCCATGAAACTGGGAGAGAACTCGAGTGCATGCCTGTTGTTGTGAATAACTAGGAGATTTAGTTAGTTCAAAAGCAATTTTCTAATTACTAAGTTAATAAGATAATACTCCATGTAATCATGGACTCTTTATTTTATTGTATTCATTACTAAACAATTTTCTTACCTCTTCTTATCCCATACATATGAAAAAAAGGACATCTATTTTCGCTTGTTATTTATTGTTACGCGAATCTGTGTGTTTGAAGCTTGAGCTGAGTTTATGAATCAAATGCAACCTTATGCAGAAGAAGTTCCAAGTTATAAATATCAAGATTTGATACATTTTCAGTATATTATTCTTTATAAATAATTAATTATCTAATTAATAGGTTTAAATGTAGATTTTTTTTATTACAGGCAGAACAGGGGGACAAAGAACCTCATAACTTGGATTTGGGTTTGATATGGAATTTGGAATGTTTGATGTTTCATTTTCAAGGAACAAAAAGAAAGTGCGAATATTATTCCATTTCTTTTAAGCATTACTTAAAATTCCTGTAATTTTCCTTTTGGGATCTTCATTTGTCAAATGGCAATTCAAGAGTCAATTTTAATACTTAAGATTTATCGTCAGCTAGCTTATGATATATTTCTTTTCAGGAAACGCGACCAAATAGATTAATAATGAAAGATTTCAAGAACGTGGTTTCTATTTGGTCTCCGGCGTTGACAAAAGCGACCCATCGGGATGAAAAAAAAGGAGGTTGAGGTTGAGGTCGCGGCTATGACGGTAGTACTATAGTGAACAATGGGTTCAATGCCCTCGTGGGCTCTGCTTTTTATTGCTTTCATGCTGTCATAGTAACAGTAACAATATATCATACAATTATTATAATATTAAAAAGTGAAAATATATATATATTTAAACGGTTGATTAATATGTTTATAGACTATAAGTTGAGTTTTAAATCTATTAGTATCACTCTCTTTTCTTTCTTTAAAATCTTATTTTATCTTTTAATATATAAAATTAAAATTAAGATTAAAATTTATAATATCCTTGTCTCCAATCCAAAATTGTCATTTTCATTTCTAGCTGTTACATGATATCAAAATGTCCCATTATTATTGTAGACACTAATTTTCGCCACATTATATATATATATATATACATATATAGTTTGCAAATGGTTTTTGAAAATACGTATATAATATGTAGTTTTCAAAACATTTTTGAAAAAAATATATATTATATAGTTTTTAAAATATTTTTAAAAATTATATAATATATAATTTTTTAAAACATTTTTGAAAATATATATAATATATAATTTTTGAAAAAACATTTTTAAAAACATATAATATAGTTTTAAGACATTTTTGAAAACTATATAACATATAGTTTAAAAACTTTTTTTAAAATTTTATAATATATGATTTTAAAAAAATATTTTTGAAATGTATATTATATATAGTTTTAAAACAATTTTTTAGTATATGTTATATAGTTTTTATTTATTATTTATTTTTATTCATTATTTTTATTCACCTGTTGTCATTTATTTATTTTATTATTATTTTTTGTTTTTGTTTTTTAGGTCCATCGTTTGGTCCAGCAAAGTCCAAATGATTGGGCCTGAACCAACCCAATACAAGTGAGGGTTTGTGAAACCCTAGCAGATGGGTCAACATGTCATATGCGCCGCATAGAGAGGAAGAACACACAAAACCCACGACAGTACTCACGGAGGATACCAAAAACAACAACCACCACAACCGGACGAGAGAAACCACATAGAACATTATCATCGAGAACAAAACAAAAAATAGAACACATAAAACCAACCAAAAACAGCCAGATCCATAAACGGTGCCACAAAAACAGTAGCCAACAACACAAAAAAGAACATCATCAAACAAATACACCAAAGGTCGAAGCCCCACAGCAAAAATCAAGCAAAATAAGTGAAAACTAAACCGGAGAAGTTCTCGGAAGAGAAGGAATCGTCGGAAAAAGGGTAAGGGACAATAACTTCACGGCTAGATCTGCTCCGATCTAGGTGTTATCTCGGTATTTCAGGGCTAGAATTGGGATCTCGAGGGTGAGGTGAGTGTTTTGGGTGTTATTTAGGTTTGAACAGCCACCGATGGCGGCGGGTGGCGCGGTGGGTGGCCACCGGAGTGGTGGTCGGACTCTTGTCGGTTTAGAGAGAGGCGAGAGGATTGTTATCCTCTCATATTTAGAGAGAGAGAGACGAAAATAGAGAAATGAAGGGGAATAAGGGAAGGAAGACCATATTTTGGCCTTAAATAGAGAGATCGAAACGACGCCGTTTTGAGCCCTAGTTACTATGTATTTTCAAAGTTTTAGGGATAATATCAAGTTTAGTCCTTGCCCTTTTGTAAGCTCACACGTGCATCTCACATTTCTGGGGATAATAGTGATTTAGGTCCCTCCTGTTTTATAAGCATTATTTTTTGCTCATTAATTTGAATTTATTCCTGTTTTCTCTTTTAATTTTATACCTCAATTTCGTTTTCTTTCATGTTGGTCCTTTTTATTTATTTATTCTTTTTTTTTCTTTTAATTTCTTATATATGTTTTTATTTCTTTTTATGTTTATATTTATTATTGTTACTATGGTAACTCCTATTATTATTATTATTATTATGTTTCATTATATATATATTTTTCGGTTTATTTAATATATTTATTTTTATTTGTCTATTTTATTTGTTTTATTTTTCCTTTGATTTGTCTTTATTTTTTTATCTATTGTTATTTTATTTTACTATTTCTTCTCTTTTTTTCCTTCTTTTTATTTAGTATCTATTTATTTATTTATTTATTTATTTCCTCTAAAGCTTCTATCTTTTATAAGGTCTTCGTCCAAATCATTCAAAGGTAAGTAATTAGAATCTGGTTTTTAAATTTGAATTTAAATTTTTCAAATTTTGCAATTAAAGACAACCGGAAAATTAATTGGTACCGAAAGGGCGGGTCAAGGGTGCTAATCCTTCATTGATCGTAACCGACTCCCGAACCCGACACGTTTCTGGTACAACGCAGATCAGGTAAGATGGTGTCCGACCCACCTAAATTCGTTTTAAAATAGTCGGTGGCGACTCCTAATCATTTAATCCAAGTCAAAGCCCAATTCCGGGGCCCAACCGAAAGACGATTCCGACAGCTTGGCGACCCCGCTGGGGACAGGTAAGTGAGTCAGACCGAAATTAATTTTCGGTTGTCTTTTTTAGCGAAAGTTATAAATTTAAATTTAAATTTATTTATTCGATTCTAATTATTTACCTTTGATTATTTTTTCAAATAAATAGTTGTACTAACATTTTTTAATGATTTCAGATTTTTCAAAATTGTCATCTCTAGCTCTATACCCAAGCTCCGAACCCTTTTAAGTGGGGGTGAAAGCAACACTTTCGTGTGAATTTATTCACCGTACGGGCCTAGCAAGTAACCTTCGGGATTCATATACCTTATGCCTTCGTGTGAATTTATTCTCCGTATGGGCATAAGAGAATGTTTCCTCTCGAGTTTAACTTAGTCCACATAAGCTTGTAATAGGCTTAGGACTAAGGGTCTGGTAAGCCCAAGGGGGCACCAGTAAGGAGAACTCGAGTACCTTTTTAGAACCTAAAACGGGAGAGTACAGGGAATTAGAGCCCACCCCAAAACCTCATTCCAAACCATAGGCTATTTTGTTTCTTGCTCTATTTTCTGTTCAAAGCATGCGAACTAGACAAATGTGCGGTTAGGATTTGTTTGAAATTAGCATGCGGGATAGAAATCATGTCCGTGTAGGAATGCTAAGCATGTTCGGATAGATGTCATGTGGGGTAGGATTTTTATTTTTCATGATTATTTTTTTTACCTCACTAACTCTTTTCATTTTTTGTTTTGTTTTATTTAATTTTCATCACTTGCATCATTTAAAAGAAGGTGTTGATCCACCAAAAACGTGTTTGTTAAACATGAATAATATGTATTAATGGACAAAGGGGTTGTAATACAAGAGATGAAAATACAGAGGACAATCTACAAGGTGACTATGTGGTGCCCACAATTGAAGAGTATATCACTCTGGTGCATTATAAAGGACTCAGGATGAACCGGGTCTACATCAAGCAATGAAAGTCTATCTTTGAAGAACTGACTGCCAAAGGTTACAGAGCAAAACGAGGAAAAGGTTACAGACCCAGACGCTCCTTTCGAAAACTACGAGAATAAGACGGCGAAACCCTAGCTGAGCTGAATGTCATTGCTGACGAATTCAAGAAGAAAACTTCGAATAGTTTCTATCGATGGAGGGCTCAAATGGTGTTGCTGCTAGGGAACAGACTCGGCAGAGAGTGGGAGCCGGAGGTGCAGTCTTTCGAGACTCTTTTTTAGGGAAAACAACTCGTCATCTGCATAAGCCAGAGCAGTTCGACATGTTATCCAACCGGTGACAGACGAAGGCAAAATACTACTCAACATATCAGAAGTTTTCAGAATATTTTTGTCTCTTAAAAGATAAAACACTTTTATCCCTAATAAGGATTATTTCTAATAACAGACACAATTTTTGGATCAATGCCTCGAACATTGCTTGCATTATGCGTCTAGACATATTTTGCATTTTGTCATTTTTCTTTACATTCGCATTAACTAACATAAACATGTCTCATCAAAAGGAGCAAATATTGGATACACCGCCTCAAGCGTTGGACACACCCCATCCGCATAACACTCGTTTGAAGAAGAAGATGATGGAAGCCAGAATTACACAAATCGAGGAGAATATGTTGAAACTACAGAAAGAGCTAGAAGACAAGATAAACCAGAACAGTCGAAATACTCTGGAAACAATCACAAAGAACCAAGAGTCCTTGGTTGATCAGATCGTTGCCAAGTTAATTGGCCTACAACAGACCAGTGCGCCTGGGGCAGGTTCACCGGAAGGGGTAACTATATAACCTACCCCGCAAGTGGTTATCTCACCTGAAATCTTACCAGAACTTCGAGGGGACTCATATATTGCAAAAACAAAGCCCTCGTCCTCTTTTTTTAACCC